TTTCTTTCTTTCTTTCTTTCTTTCTTTCTTTCTTTCTTTCTTTCTTTCTTTCTTTCTTTTTCTTTCTTTCCTTCTTTCTTTCTTTCTTTTTTGTTAGACAGAGTCTTGCTCTGTCTCCAACCTAGAGTGCAGTGACACAATCTCGGCTCATTGCAACTTCTGCCTCCCGGGTTCAAGTGATTATCCTGCCTCAACCTCCCAAGTAGCTGGGACGACAGGCACATGCCACCACACCCAGCTGATTTTTGTATTTTTAGTAGAGACGGGATTTCACCATGTTGGCCAGGATGGTCTTGATCTCCTGACCTCGTGATCAGCCCGCCTCAGCCTCCCAAAGTGCTGTCCAAGGCTTTCTTCTCTGCCATGGTCTTTGTGGGCATCACTCTGGCCTCTGCATCTGCCCAGCAGCTGCTGTCACAGCTTTTCCTGCACTCACAGACCAGTCTTGCTGTGCACCTTCTGAGATTCCAGCACCAGCCCAGCAGAGTCCCCTCCTCAGAGAGTGAAGCCTTGGCTCCTTGGGGCCTCTGCTCCAAGTTTCTAGCTTCTAGCTTCCAGGTTGTAGGAACACCATGGTGTTCCTAATTCCAACTGCTTCTCTTGGTTCCCCCAGGCCTAGTGTGGAAGCTGTTTCCTCAAGCTGCCACTCCATGGTATCTTAGTGTTATTTTTCTCGCTTTCTTTTAATTTTCTAGTTAACAATGCTTTATACCTAGCTAATAAGCCTTTATATAAAATCATTCTGACCAGAATACCTGGTGGGGCTCCAGTCCCCTGACTGGTCCCTGCTGAATGCACATGGTCATGAAACTGACCCAATTTTCCAACATGCTGGATGCCCACAGAAGCGAAGCCTGAGGAACTTAACATTTGTACAATGAGGCGCACCTGCTGCCTGTGGACCAGCTTCTCTGCCTAGCCCCTCCTGTTTTCCTTCCCAGCTATGTAAACCCCTGACTTTAGTCAGTGGGGGAGGGACAGATTTGAGGTTTGGCTCCTGTTTCTCTGGCTGAAGTCACCCAAATAAAAAGCCTTCTTTCCTGGAAATGCTCATTGAATCAGGGATCAGCTTTCTTTGTGGTGAGCAATGGCACCTAAACTGAACTCCTGGCATTCGGTCACAGTCTCACCTGGCTGAGCCAGTACAGAGATGGGGCTTTGACGCTGCCCACTCCTTCCACAGCCCTTGCTGTACCCACTGTGCTCCCGGGTGATGTCTGGCTGGCATCAGATCACTGGAGAGGGCATTACCTCTGATCACCGAGCCCCCTAAGAAGGTGCGGCTCACCTTCCTTCATGAGAGACAAGGAAGACAGTGTCCACATGCCCACTGCCCAGGGAGAGGGGCACTTGTTGCTGCAAAATGATGTCGGTCTGCATTGGTACCCTGGCCAGCCCACGGCTCTTCTGGGGGCAGCTGGTGGCAGGCCCTCCAGTGCCTACCCTACAGCCACCTCCCTTCGTCTTTCTCGCAGATGGGACCTGCAGTTGGGTCAGGCAGAGGTCTCTTGGTTTTGGGCAAAGTAGACCCTTCCCCCAACACAGGGGATGAATCATGATTG